GGGGGGGGGGGGTTGAGTATATGTGTTATGTACATATTGCGTATTGGGCCCGCCTCCTAATTTCTTGTATAGTTGAGGTCCGTGGCCCATCTTTGTACACCATATATACGTGCATATGCACGAAGAGTAATACATCGTGCAATCATACAAGTAGCAAAAAAAGGATGACGTTGGCTGCCCATCAACCTACAACGGCGGTACGTTATACAACCCTACCACCAACCTTCTTGGCTGTTTGCAAGAAGCTCTGATCCTGATTTTTTTATTTTGAAACCAGGGTCAGATCCGGCTGAACATTGCAAAAAAAAAAGTCAAAACACATAAATTTGACCCGTATATTATTGTCTTACATACAAAAGGTTAAAACGACCTGCGTTTTCCTTTTGCATATGTCTCACAATAGCTACATGTTTGATCACAAAATCTAAAACGAAGCTAGGCTTGAGTACCATATAGGTAACATAGAACTTTGCCGAAAAAGAATCGTAGTAGGGATTCCATCCAAGTGCGCTCGAGAAAAGGGATTCTATCCAAAGCTGGACACACAGAAAAGGAGAGGGGGGAGAGAGAGACTGAAACAGAAGCAAACCCAAATCCAGGCCCAACAGCTGCAGAGGACACGCCCTTCTGCCCCGTCTTCCTCATTGGGGGTTTCTTCCACGGGCAAAGCCGCCGCCTGATGAAGAGCAAATCCGCCAAGAAGGCCGCCGACGAGGTACCAACCCTCTCTATCTCTCTATCTCTCCGCCTCCCCTCTTTCTCCGCTTTACTTAGGGTTAGGAATTAGGAGACCTTTCTCGGTCGGATTCTAGATTTCTCTTTTGATGCCGATTGCTTTTTTCATGGACTGAGAATCCAAGAATTTTATCGTACCAGCTGCTTAGATTTCAGACAGAGAATTAGCACCATGCCATGCCCGATTCTTCTTTATCGCTGTGTTCTTCGGGGACCCCCCCACTAACTGAAGCTTCTACCGTCATCTTGTTAGGATGAGGCCAAGTCCAAGAAGATCCGATCCTCGCGCGGCAAGCGTCGGAGTGTCCGCCACAGCCGCAGCCGCTCCCCTTCCCCCGACGGCTCCAGCTCCAGTTCCCCACCCCGCAAGCGCTCCAAGAAGCCCACCAAGAAGATTGTTGACAAGAGGAGGAAAAAGAGCAAGGGCAGTGGCAGCCGCCGCCGCCGCCGCCGCAGCCTGAGTCCAAGCCGTAGCCCCAGCGGTAGCCCTTCCTCGGTGTCCAGGAGTCACTCCCGCTGCAGTCACCATAGCATTAGCAGCAGCAGTGCCTCAGACTCTGAGAGGTCAGTTAGCCCACTGCCCAAGAGCCACTCCAAAGATCCTAGGAAGAAGAAAGGAAGGGGGAGGGACAAGGATCGAAAGAGGAGGCGGGTACGGAGATCAAGGAGCTACTCGAGCAGTCCAGCCAGGAGTGGAAGTAGCAGGAGCAGGAGCAGGAGCAGGAGCAAGAGCAAAAGTAGGAAGCAGAGGGCGGACGGCACGAGACATTATGCAAGTAGGGACAGGGTTGTACAGGACTATGACAAGTGCCAGGATCCGCAGAATGAGAAGAGATCTGTTGAGGATGTTTATAGCGAGGAGGACGCGGTTGCTGACGATTATGAGAAGAATGTGGAGCTGAAGGAGATGGAAAGCCCACCTTCCAAGGATGCTAATGAAACGGGTGAGATCTTACCTGTTAGTTGCGAAAGCCCAGAAGTTGAGGAGGATTTGGAGCTCATTCTCAGGCAGAAAGCTCTTGAGAACTTCAGGAAGTTTAAGGGAGCCGTGGCCATGGTAGGCAAGACAGAAAACAATGGTACAGGGAAGGAAGTACTAGCAGATAGCCCCCAGAATACTGTCACAAAATTTCCTGAAGCAAGGTCTGCTGTTGTCCCTTTTCAGAGGCAGGGAAGCAATCTTGGAGTTGGCCACTCTACTCGATCACCTGAATTTGATGATTTTGAGAATGGTAGAAGTCCTTGGAAGCAGGAAACGACTCACAGGGATAGATCACCTGGAATACTCGAGGCTGGTGATACTTGTGGTCCTACGCAACAGCAGGGAAGCGGACTAGAAGAGATTCGTTCAACTTCTCATATCACTTCACATGATGGTAGGAATGGTGGTAGTGTAATGCAAAGGTTGGGAAGCACCCCCGCGAGTTCTGGTAGTATAAAGCAAAGGTTAGGCATCAGCTCAGTGGTGAGTCCTGTGCAAGCAAGACCCAGAGTTAGATCAGTTGTGAGTATACCCTCCAGGGAAGGGCTTGATGGCAGTACATTTACAACAATCCCTACAGTTTGTGAGAATCCTGCCTCTGTCGAAAGCAGTAGTGAAGTAAGACATTTTCCTGCTGAAATAAACAAGCTTGAAGGAATCGATGGAGATGATAGAAAGATTGGTGAAGCTTCAATTCCTGAGAGCTCTGTTTTGTCGACTGATGCGGGCAAGAGCCAGGCAGCAGGGACTGAGGACAAAGATGGTTCTCAGTTTGAGAAGAGGACTTTCTCTAGGATGCATGATGGAGAGACAGTGCAGGTGAGCAATAAAACTGCACTGTTGCTCTGTATATCAAGTGCTTGAATATCACAAGGTCAATCATATGCATTGTGTCTAACTGCCTTTCTTACATTCTTCAGGTCAGCTATAAAGTCTACATACCAGCGACAAGCCCGCGACTTGCAAGGAGGAAGCTGCAGCGCTGAAGGCATCGAATGGACTTCCATCTAGTCGTCATTAATCCCGTTGTCTGCAGTTCAGTTATATAGCTGGATAAACTCTTGTAGCACGTGAACTCTCTTTTGTTCCTTCTAGAGATCCTGCACGACTAATACAACACCTGCTCACGTCGTGACTACATCTTACTGCTCGATAGTAGCACACTTGGACAGAAGCTGTGATGGCTTAACATGATACAATCGTTGTTTATTTTTTGGGCAACTATACATCGTTGTTGAGCTGAAATATAGATGGCTGTGCTTTGCCAAATGAACTTTATCCCATATAGCAAAGCCATCCATTTTTACATGCACTTGGATTCTTGTAACCAGTAAACTTGATCTTGGATCCTGTGATGCAGTGTACTGGTCTACTACTTAAAACTGTTGTTGCCTTTTGTGGCGCAGGATATTGCAAGGAGCTATAGAGAAATGTTGTGTTTTGTGGTTTAAACTTTGCAACGATGGCATGCCTCGGAATAATCCGTGGTTTGGAGATCTATGTGCAGTTGCAGTTCGAAATGATGATCATTGTTTATTTGGCGTTGATCACTGTAGTTGTATGTTTGCATCATGAATAAATAGATGGGTTCCTATCTTGACCTTTTCTTTTCCACATTGGTTCATTTATTCAGTTTATTATGCGCTAGCCTGCCCAGATATCGAGGGTGAGAGAACCTCCATAGAAATCTGGTCCCAGCAGATGCGGCTGTAGAATTCAGCCCTTTTTTAGAGATGAGGTAGATATAATTCAGCTTTGCATCATATCTGAAATATTGAACTGACAGGCCGGTTTCATTGCAGAAACATTCTGTTGGAACTCGTGGGCTGCTGTAACAGTATATGATTAGAGCGGTAACAGATTAGGCAAGGCGCTCTTAGTGTCGTCCTGGGTTTCATGGCACAGAAAGATTTCCGAATTCGGACTTGGACAGATTTCGCCGTCAGTTCCGAGACCGAGGAGAGGAGGACGGCCGGATCATGCAGGGAGTCTGGCTGTCCGTCGCTAAAAGAGCAGCCTCTTCTGGCCTCCACCAAACCAACCAAGCAACCGAGCCAAACAGGCTCACCTTCCAACAGTAGTATAGCTGCCGAAGCAAATCAACATGGCGAGTGGCACGAGGGATCTCGGCGTGGCGCTTGCTGTCCTGCTCCTGCTGTTCATGCTCGGGGCCTCCGCCGCTGCCGCGGTCGTCCCCAGCATCGACGCCACGCGGACCCGCCACCTGCCGCTGCCGCCTGGACTGCTGCGCGGCCCGGAGAGCGTCGCCTTCGACGCCAAAGGCAACGGCCCATACAGCGGCGTCTCCGACGGCCGCGTCCTCAAGTGGAACGGCGACAGGCTCGGCTGGACGACGTACACTTACAGCCCTGGATACAGCAGCGAGGCGTGCACGGCGTCCGTCCGCCGCCCCGAGACCGTGACCGAGAGCCGCTGCGGCCGTCCGCTGGGCCTACGGTTTCACCTCAAGTCTGGCTACTTGTACATAGCCGACGCCTACAAGGGGCTCATGAGGGTCGCGCCAGGAGGTGGGGAGGCGACGGTGCTTGTGACGGAGGCCGATGGCGCTCCTCTCCGTTTCACCAACGGCGTGGACGTCGACCAGGTGACCGGTGAAGTCTACTTCACCGACAGCTCTATGAAATATCAAAGGTCACAACACGAGATGGTAACAAGAACCGGGGACTCGACAGGCCGCCTAATGAGATATGATCCACGCACAGGAAAAGTGATTGTGCTAAAGGCCGGCATCACTTACCCCAATGGTCTCGCCATCAGCGTTGACCAGACACACCTCGTCATCTCATCGACCGGGCCGTGCAAGTTGTTGAGGTACTGGACCAAAGGTCCCAAGACAGGCACGATCGAACTGTTAACTGATCTACCGGGCTATCCTGATAATGTGAGCCCGGATAAGAGAGGAGGATACTGGGTGGCATTACATCATGAGAAGACAGAGCTCCCCTTTGACGTTGATAGCCATCTACTTGCCTTGAGGATCAATGCTGATGGAAAAATAATCGAGGAGATGAGAGGACCCAAAGGCATGAGGCCGACAGAGGTGGTGGAACGGACAGGCGGTAGACTATTTGTGGGATCCGTCGAGCTTTCTTATGTGGCCGTGGCCACCCGCAAATAGAGATTAATTTAAGTTCTGTAAAGGATTTGCATTGAGCATGCTCTTTTTTTCAATGTCATGTTCTGCTTTTCTTTCCTAATTCATTTGTTCCATAAGTGCATTTTGTTAGATGAGTCTTAGTTAAACGACGATTTTCTGTTTCAGTAGCATGTCTCCATGGAGTCTTTAATAAAGCTATAAACAAATACCATCGTGAGTTTCAGAGACGCAAGAATACTAGCTTTGTGTAGTAGTAATCTCATGTTAAGATGAACTTGCATTTTCTTCGGAGGTGTTAGTTCTGCCATAGCTGACAGAACAACAAAAAAGGGTGTTTAATATACTACCTTCATTCCTAAATATAAGTCTTTTTACAGATTTCACTACGGATTACATATGGAGTACAATGAGTGAACATATATTCTAAAGTATGTCTATATACATCTGTATGTAGTCCGTAGTGGAATCTCGAAAAAGACTTATATTTAGGAACAAAGGGGGTACATCTAAGTGGTTAATGACACCTCCAAAACAATAGTGTTGGTTCCGGTGATCCAATGAACAGTTTTTTTTAGAAAAGAGGCATTATGCCCGGCCTTAAACTGAGTCCCGTACAAGGTTCCGACACAAATAGGTTCAGATAGGTTCAAAGCAACAAAGAAAAGAAAAGGCCGCCAAGGGCAAGGAATGGTCTGATACAGGGCCAAAGCCCAAATGAGCCGCACAGCGTCAAAAGAGACGGGACACAACGCCTGCCGAAGTGGGAGCGGGGAGCCCAATGAGGCGAGGAGTGGCTGCCCTAGCCAGAGTTGTCTCCCCCCCCCCTTATCACCACAGTTCAGTACAATGGAGCAGTAGCCAAGAGATGAGCTGCCACACCTTGGCTCGATCCTTCGGTCTCGTTAATAACTTCCATATAGCCGCAATACGATAACCAATTGTACATAAGATCAACATGATGACGAAATAGCTTAAGAATATATAGTCAATTGTAATAAACTACTTGAGACATATTGGTACTTCCAGGCCTCCAGTACCGCGCATCATTTTGATGCAAACTTCTCAGCTTAGCAGAGAAAGGAAATACCTTTCATTCGTGCTCCCCCAGCGCCATATGTTCATGCCAAATCTTCACCAAATACACAAGTGTTCCTTCCTTACGTAAAATGCACAGAACCACCACGATAGTGATGTCATAAGCAGAAAACCATGACTTTACAAAACATTACATTTTTCACCTCGCTGAGAAATGGCAGTGACAAAAAACACCAAGCTTTTTTTTAACAGGATTGGACATGGCTAATCCCTCGCGTGCGGACAGGGTGGACGGTGTGCCGTTAACAGCCTGTCCTGATCAGCTCGCTCCCACCCACCTCCCTCACTCGCTCGCTCTCTCTACCTCTCTCATGGACAGGATGGCGGCGACGAGATCTATCCTAAGCGGAGGAGGATCCAGCGGTGATGGCATGGTGGGTGGGGGCGGAGCATCCAGCGCATACATCGGCGTGGCAAGGGTGTGGAAGAAGAAGAAATTGTGGCCGAACTTACCTCGGCATTCTTGCGGTCGGCCTTGCCCAGGTTCACCAGCACCAAGGCATCAGAGAGGTTCTTGTGTGTCAACTCCTTCAACATGTTGGCCCCTGACATCATTAGTCAGACCCGATTGATCGGTATGTCGCAAGATCCATGTCGACCGAGGGTAGTGGGGTGGCGCCAGAGCTAGTGCCAACGTCCCTCAGGGAGACGGGGATACTGGAAGCAGGGGCGACAGGAGGAGTCGGGGCCAGAACGGCGGCGATAGACGGGCTTGCGGCCTGGGGAGTAACACTCGATGAGATGATGGTCTGACGGTCTTCACTCGAGACAATCACAACTTCTTCAACAAGGGCAGCCGGAGCTGACCTGGGGTTCTCTCTCTCTCTAGGGACGAGACAACATCCATGTCCATGGGCTGGGGGTCTCTTATTCTGTCTAGTTGCCGGCACTCCCAGGCACCGACGGGCAAAATACCGTCACATCCCTCGGTAGTGGTTTGAGCGGAGCTGGAAGTGATGTGGAGCATCCTATGGACATCACCATGTCAAGAGTTCGTTTGGCAATTGACACGTACCCCATCTACTTTACATACATAAAGGTGAATCATCTCCTTTACACGTGTTCACTTGTGCCCTTCGAGGATGGTATACTACTTGACCCCTCTCCCGTGTGCATAGATAGGTGTGAGCGGAGCTACACATTCATCAAGGAGGAGTCCAAGCTCAAGAGAACAACTACACCATCCAAGAGGGAAGCCTGGAAGCGAAGAAGGAACCGCCAAGAAAGAAGGCAGCAGCTCCCAGGCGACCCCATGCACACGGGCCTCCCCAACCCCGTGCCCACGGGCCTCCCATGTTGCACGGTCCTGAAGACCCCGTGCACACGGGTGTGTACCGTGTCCACGGGCCTCACTGACCCCGTGTGCACGGGCTAAGTGTATCAGGTCGCTGGAGACCCCGTGCGCACGGACTCCACTTACCCCGTGCGCACGGGGCCCCCGGTGTGTAGCGTTGTTGGGCTTTGCCCATGTATCCCCCTTTCGTCCCTCCTTACCCCTTGATGCCTTGGACCTATATGTACTCCTCCTCATCCATTTAGATTTAGCTAAGAATATATCTAGACATTAGAGCTTGGCTCATGTACTCCCCTTGTGGGATTCCTCTTGAAAGAAAGGAGCCTGGATTGGAGTTCAAGACCTCCATTGGAGAAGATCCTTAGGGATTCAAGACCCCTTTAGGGAAGGATCTATCTAGATCATCAAGACCTCATCTCCTTTGGATTTGAGATGAACTTTACCATGTATCTTGTTTCCCTTTGATTGTTCTTGTACCTTGTGAATCTCATGTGTTTGTTAGTCTAGTGGATGTGTGATTGGACTTGTTCTTGAGTGTTCCTCTTGTGATTTCTCCTCTTGTTCTTCGTGTTCTTCGCGTTCTTTGTGGATTCCCCTCCAATTCATGAAAGATCTCCACTTAGGGTCTCCACCCTACAATAGGAAGTCTCGGATCGAAGGTCGCACAAAGGTTTTACCCAGGTTCGGGCCTCCGGAGAGTAATACCCTACATCTTGCTTGCTTTGATATTTCATGGTGGAGGGATACCTCATGCGAGGGGTTTACAATGGTGTGTGATATTGCTACCGAGAGTTGCTATCTGAGATTAGATGGGATGAAAGCCTCCTAACCTCCCCTTATATAGGTAGAGGAGGTCTAGGGTGTATGGGGGGATAAATGCAATCTAGGGCGCCTCCGATCTTTGTCTTGGGCGGCAGGAAGGTCCTTGACGAGGACTAGGGCCAGGCTCTTCTGAATGGGCCAACCCCGGTGTATGACACTGTCAGCAGCCCTCGAGCGTGGCGGAGGTCGCAGAAGTGGTCTTTGAGACCCTCTGGCAGGCTCATGTCTTCCTCCGAACCCGACCTATTGTGGTAGCCGCGTCCTTCAAAGGGTTGCACACCCTGGCGGCATCTTTTACTTTAGGCCGGATCAGAGCTCCGTGGAGGGAATTGTTGGTGGTGTATCCCGGTAATTTGGGGCGTTCATGATGGTGCCATGATTCTCGCGTGCGCCCGTCCCTTGAAAAATAGGAAACCGCGCAAGGCACATGGCACATGCCATGCCGCAAGGCACGATGCTTCGTTTCAGAGCGGCTATAAGAGGAGGCAAAATGAGGGGATTTCAACTTCTCCCCGCCTTTGCCCATTTTAACTCCCTTTTCCAACATCAGTCTCATCGTGCATGTTGTTAGCGCTCCGCCTTGCTCCACCGCCACCAACCTCGTTGTCCTTCCCTTTCGCTGCGATGGCCAGGACCAGGACTAAGAAGGGGAGTCGGGCTTCTGACCAGGAGCCGGCTGTGAGTGCCATCGGCCAAAAGCAAAAATAGGCTGCCTCTAAAAACGTCGAGTGATCGGCGCGATCTACCCCTAAATCCACAGGGAAGTGGTTCCCCTCCGCGGCAATGGAGGAGGAGGTCCAGGCCTATAAGGACCAGCTGCTAATGCCAGTAGACATGAAGGTCCAACTGCCATCCGGGGAAGTCCCGCCCACTCCTAGCAGTGGTGAGCACATCGTCTGCTTAGGGTATTTTGGGAGGGGGCTTAGCTTTACTCTCCACAAATTTGTGCGTGGCCTTCTCCAGTTTACGACTGTCAACTACATCATATTCCTCCTAATGGAGTACTCCATATCGCCAGTTTCATTTCTTTCCGTGAATGCTTCCTCGGGACAATTCCTCATTTAAAGTTGTTCTGGTATTTCTTTCGTGTCTGCGTTTGGTAGAACGAAGGCGCAGTATGTGACCTCGGGGAGGAAGCCATCTTGTAGCTCTGTCCCAACTCCACCTTCTTCTCCTTTGACCTCCCGAAGTCTGTTTGGGAATGGCATAAATCTTGGTTTTATGTGGAAGGCCTCGGTGACGACATGCCGGCTTTCTCGAATGAGCCCCCAGGAAGATGCTTTCGTGGGCTCCTCTATCCCGGATTTTGACGACAGCAAAGGAACTGGCGCATGCCCCCGTCTGCCTGAAGAAAGGCGGACTAACCGAAGGCCATATCGCGCGTACATGGGTGGAGTGTCGCGTTTTTCTGTTGCAGGCCCTGGCCCTCCCTCTGTCCCGATATGTTGGGGCAAGAGATCCTGCATGGTCTCTGAAGTAGATCTGAGCCTGGAAGACGTTGACGTCTACCTTGGCTACTTGGTGGGCCCAAATGCCAATGCGAACTCGTTGAAGGAGGTCATCAAGCCTTTCACGGCTGACCATCCCCCCGGCAACGTGAGTGTCTTTTTTGTAGCTCCATCCTTACTAGAGGTCGGCGCTTCTTTTTCTTGAACGCTTTCTTGCTGCTGTTATGCAGGGGTTTGCTACCTTCGCGACATACCATTCGTAGCCCCCGTTGTAGGGGCAGGGGGTGAGCCCTAACTTGGACGCCCTTATGATGCCAGCCATCTCAGGGCTACCCAGGTGAGGGGTGAGCCCTCCAAGAAGC